TCTCCTTACAGGCCTTAAACTGTTGCATAATGTCTTCATCTGTCTTGTACAGCACACTTATGGTGAAATAAGATCAGTTGCTGGGAGGAGAGGGCTATGCCTCCCTCACCCCATAACCATTCTGGAGCCCTCTCTGAATCAGCAGAGATGAGGGAAGCATAGGAAGACCCGGAGCCACAGCGTGACTCACTGGCTAGTAGATTAAAGAGTGCCAGGAAACATGGGTACTGGAGCTCAATTATCTGTGCTGTTAAATTATTAGAATGGTTCCTGGCATGGTTTTGACTTATGCCAACCAACTTTTCCTCAAGACAGTTCCTAGGCATGGACCGAAGACCCTTCCCAATAAGCATTTTGCACACAGTCACCTTTTTTGGGAGGCTGTGAATTTAATAATATGGGCTGGACATAGGCCACTCTGTGCCTGTTGGTCTCAGTGCCAAAGGAACATTTCCTGTCCCATTTAATTTCCTAGCACAGACATAGCCACTGTGTTACAGTCTGATCCCTGCTTTGTTTCTGTAGCTGTGCAACTGAGCACTGGTCTGTACTTAAAGTCTGTGGCAAACCGAAATGTAGTTTTTTGTGTCTGTTACTCAACCCCATTCCTAAACCTCTGGTTTTTTTTGAACTGTATGCTATTCACACAGCAACTATATTTGGAAGAGGCGTGTATTGTGCAGATCCGTTTAAATTAAGCAGTTATCTGAAAGTGAAAATCTGCTCTATAAAATAAAGGGAAATTAAATGAGACTGACACAATACCTAGATCACATTGCTAGTGAGCAGATACTTTCCACTAATTTGATTTTTCATCAGAAACAGGTACCATGAAGTGTAGGATTGAAACTCCTGGGGCTAGATAGTCTCAGATAGCAACATCTGTCAAGTATAATAAGGCAGAAAGCTTTAATTCAAAATAAAGTATCTTTCTTCTTTTTACTCTAAATGCAGCTCTCCCCTTGCTTCTCAATGAGGTTATTTCCTTCTTTAGGGGGTCAGACACAGACTCTGCAGACTTTTGCTGTTGTTCTTTTTGTTTCTAATGCCTCTTAGACACATATTAATGTATTTTCATCCTGAAGTACTGCCTACATCTATTGACATTTGAATTGTTAGAAGCAGTGATCTGCAGCTATTGATATCATTCTTATCTGTTATCATCCCATCTTATCTGGGTAGTGGGAAAAGAAAATGTGCACTGGAAAAGGAGCATAGTTACTCCTTTAGGTATATACTCCTTCCAGTCTATGAATTAGTCTTTTAACATGTAGCTTAATCTATGAAATACGAATATCATAGGGTATCTTCAGAACATGTGGAGTAAGCTGAAAAAGCTAAAGGGGGAAAGGAGCTAATTCGGCCCAGGAGCATTTGGTGACAATTAAAAGGAGAGACAGGGTGTGAAACCCAGAGGACTTTCAGGGTGGCAAGGAACAGACTGGGAACATGAGGGAAGGCAGAGCACATGGGGACATGGTGGGGCAGCAGGCCATGTCCACCTTGGCACTGGCACATGAGCAGCAGGGCGTTAGGCATGTTCAGTGGTGCTGTCAGGGGGGCCACTGACATGTGCCAGAAAAGCAGAAGCAGGGGAGAGCAGCGAGGAGGTGGGGGAACAGCTAGGAGGAACCTGTCTGGTCTAAGAGAGGAACTAAAGAGGCCAGGCAGGGTGAAGAGAAGTGAGGAGGAGGTATTAAATGAAACGGCTAAAATGACACATGGTCACTAAAGCCTAAAACCTCTAAAGTATCTAGGAGTCTGTGCTGAATTCAGGGTCTCAGTCAACATGTGAGCATGAGCTCCCTTCTGTGGAGCGATCACCATGTGCCACATTACGTGTTTGTCAGGTATTCAGGAGGGGCACAATTTAAGCGAAATGTACCAAGGCAGGTGCTTGCTTTTCTCATCCTAAAAATGGGACTTTATCAAGTAGCTCTTTATCAAGCACTTTCTCTCCCAGCAAGAGAGCCTGTCTCCTGGTGGCATGGCCTACCTTAGCAAAGTGTTTTTTCATTCTAAGTCAGAACTGTGCTAAAGAGGAAGCGATGATCTAGTTGTTCAGCCTCACCATATCCTGTGTTCAGAATAATTTTCATTTCTACTTATCTGCAAATGTTAATGGAATGTCCACAAATATTTTCTTGGTTTCTATGGTAAGAGAAAGAGTGAAACTGTGTCAAAGCCACTGCATCATGTGCATCATTGTGTGCTTTTTAGGAGAAGACCTTGACCACTAAAGGAGTCATCTATCGCATTATTTGTATGCAAACTGACATTTGGTACATTTTGATCCATTTCGGGTTCACATTTTGAAACACAGGTTTACATATTGCAAACCATAAAAGTTACTTGGTCACTTTTATGATTACACAGTAATGATAGAGTATATCAAAAGAGCTTAACAGAGATTACTTCCTTTTTGACCATAAAGCAATCAAGCATTTCCTGGAATTTACCTGTAAGACACTGGAAATTTATTTTTTTTTCACTGCTTTTAGTTTCCAAGTTACTCAGAACTAAAATCTCCCAGGGCCCTGTGTGCACAGGCATGGAGCGTGGCAGGGTGCAAGCACTTGGGGAGCTCTGCCAGTAAGTGATCACATGGCGACGCAGCTAACGCGCTGCACACTTCCGCAGCCTTCTGAGAACAGCACTCTTCCCCCTCATCCAGCGCCCAGGGACCAGCCCCCAGCTGGGACACTCCTGTCAGGAAAGGAGCAACTGTCCTGTGCCACATTTCCCTGGAAAAAGGACTTCAGTTTGGGGCACACATTGTCACAAATATTCAGATTGACTCATAGCCTTGCATCCCCCAGTCCTTTGCCTACGAGAGTGAAGAGCCTTAATGTGGCAGAGTTGGTGGGACTGGGGGAAATAAAGCAGCCTTTCACTCTGTGTGAGAAGAGCTGTGTGAATCTCAAACCAGGAATCATGAGGTTTGGTGGTATTCCCAGAGATCAGAGATCACACAGCTCTTGCTCCTGACACAATGCCCAGCCATTCAAATTGTTATTAATATGGTTATGTCTGATTTCTCAAGAGTAAAAGTGCAGTTCCGTTCGAGAGGTAAATCTGCATCAGGAAAAATGTGTATGTGTTTTAGGAGGAATTCTGTCTGACTCAGATAGGGGAGCTTCAGTAAAAATCCCTGACCTCCAGTTAAATTTGTCTTCTTTTCTTGGAGTGAATCTCTGAAGAAACCTTTCTGGTTTTTATAGAGAGAAATATTTTGGAAAACATACCAGCATCACTGGTATGCTACCAAAGCAGGAACAAGAGAAATGGAATTAAATAATGCCCAATTTCCACATGGGAGTCTGTTTCTGCAGACAGGTATCTGGAAGTCCAGCTTGCCAGTGCAGTACTTTGCACTGTGTTATTGAACTGTTTCAAAGACAAATTTTATGAATAGAGATCAAAGTGTATAAGAGGACTGTTAGCAAATATGACCACTTGTGCAAATATCCGTGAACCTCCCTTCAATAGCCATTCAGAAGTTCCAAAGGCTGTCAGGGCATGTAATGATTGTAATAAATGTTGTATTTGCTTTTGTTTCAGCTGGCTTTGACCAGCAAATTCGGCTGATTACTTCCATTGTTATTTTTGCTTAGAAGACAATTATATTGTTATCATTTAAAAAGCCCCATCTTCTTAGATGTTTCTTTGTACTGGTCTTGAAATTCAAAACTCACTATCCTAGTTAACATAATTTTAAAATTTATTTTCATTCTTATCATTGCATTTGTTTCTTTTCAGTGTTTTTGCTTTGTTTCATGCTCCTCCAGAATGCTGCATCTCCTGTTGTGTTTGTTGGAGAAACAAACCAGTAATTGTTGCAACCCTCCCTGCCCCTAGATAAATAGTCAGAGGTTTAAATTATAGCACACACTAAGAAAATACTGGAATTTAGCTGACGATCCTGTGTTCTTATGGCTGGATTACAGGAGCAGGATAGTCTCATGGTTCTGAGATTATATTCTAGCAATTTAACAGCTCAGGCAGGATTGAAGAAGCTCCTTGTGTTCTTTGGTAAATACACTGAAGATACACTCAGCTTCATCTTTATTTGGTCTACTAGTGGGAAACAAAAGGATAAATATAAACTGTCTCATCTCTGTTGTGGGTCCAGTGTGCAGGACTTATCAAAGTACATCAATGGAGCAGTGCCAGTAAAATTCCCACTGAGTCTGTACAACAAATTGCAACATGACCACCATGACAAGAGCAGCCTAAAGCAGATGCTGTAGATGGCATGTATCTGGGAAAAAGTGTTTGGAAATAAATTATGAGAGAAGTTAGTGCTGGTATAACCAGCAGCATGTGGGCAGAGACAGTCACACAACTATAAAAGTCAGGAATCTGCCAAAGATCCTTATGGTATGTTGCTTAGTTGAAACTGATAGTTCAAGGTACCTCTGTGTGTGAGGAAAGCATAATGGGCAGCACTGAATGCCTTTTGTAAGGGACAACTGTGGGGAGGGTTTGACTTAATCTGTATCTAACTGATAAAAAGAAAAGTTAGGATTTCTCCAGCTGCTTCCAAGAGACCTTTTGAAACAGGTCAGACATGTTTATTCAGGTCAGCCCATAAGCTTGAGATAACCCCATTTCTTTTACAAAAAATACAGTGTCCAGATCTCCACTGGAGAGTGTTTGGGGTCTGTAAGTTGTAAAAGCTTCCAAGAGTTGTTCTGGTAGTGTGCTGTGGTATCGTGATACACATCAGTGCTGTACTCTGATACTGGTTTTTAGTTATACCTTGAGCTGCACTGATCTTGACAAGAAGTGGTCTCACTTCCCTACTCATCACTGCAGCTATCCATACTGAGATTTTTCATACAGGACCCTTTTTTATGCAGTGGCCAAACCAGTCTGACCTAATCATTAAAGATTTTACAGTCTGGATTTAAGTACATGGGAGCTGTATACACAACACTTACGAGGCTATAATTCTGTAGCTAAGCGTGCTCTCTCTTATGTTCCTTTTTGTTTTACAGGTTGTTACTTTGTGGTATAGAGCTCCTGAAGTTTTACTTCAGTCCAGCTATGCAACACCAGTTGATCTTTGGAGTGTTGGCTGCATATTTGCAGAAATGTTCCGTCGAAAGTAAGAAATACAGTTTTATTTTCTTCATGTTTATCATTTGAAATCTGAAAAATGTGCAGTAATGTCTCATACAATACACTGGCTCATGCTTATATTGGAAAGGCCTGATAGGATGTCTTATTTGCAACACAAAATGTAAATACCCATTGTCAATTCATACTTACTGCCATCTTGGAATCTTTCTTTTTTGATGGGAGTCTGCCTCAGTTCTTGGTCATGCTTGTATGAGCATGGTTGAATTCCTGTTACACCTGAATCCAAATGCAGATTAAAGTGAGCTAGAGAGGCTATTGATCAATTTGAGTAAAGCTGGATTCTGGAAAGGATTTACCCTGAGGAAAGCAGGGCATGGTTGTCAGCACTTTTCTTGTTCTGGAGAAAGGAAACAGAGGTTCTTCTTTTTAGGAACAAGCTACTTTGTTAGCCTGAGTGCAGGGTAACAGTCATGTTAAATGTAGTCCCTCCAAAAAAAGAGTTAACACTTTTTTTTAGCTGATTTGAAATTGGCTGTCAGAACTGTCTTGCTACAAAATACCACCTCTGGATGCAGTTGAGTTGTGAATACGAGAGGAACACTTGCATAGTTGTCTTTTCCCATGGAAGGACACTGATATAGAGGTTGTACCATGTAGGGTGTGGAGAGGAACAAACCCCCAAGAACCTTTATTTACAAGGTAAATTGGTCTTGATATGAACCTGCATTTTGGTTGAGTTTGCTGCAAAACATTTGTGTTGTCATCACCTGGATGATCTCTGTGTAGGAACTGTAGAGAATTGTGTTAACACCCACTGTGAGATGAAAGAATATACATGAAGAAAATGTTAAAGAAAATTATATGCTGAGTGACCTGAAAACCAAAAATCAGTGTAAATTACAATGAGAAGCCATACTGCAAGGGCCTTGAGAAACAACTATTAATTTATACAATGTAAAGTTAAAAATCCTGATTGAAGTATTGCAAAATAACTTTGGGATTCTACTACTTAATAATGTTAGTATATGGAAAAATCATTTTTCTTGGGCTTTTTGCCTGGTCAAATGGCCTGGGTAGAATTATTATTATACTCCACCCTCTGTCTCTGACTCAAAAATGAGATCAGAAAATGAGAGGGAAAAAAAATGTATTTTAGGAGTGTCAATTAAACCCTCCATTGCAAACTTTTGAAGATTTAGTCTTATCCCATATACTGCTAAGTTCACAATAGCATTAAGCCACTGGTATTTTTCTGATTTAAATAACAGTCAACAATTTCATTTTAGCATTTGCAATAAGAGTGATACAGGGCAAGTAACTGAATACAGAACTTTATTAAGTGCTCAAAAACTTTCATTTTTTTCTCATTTAATTTGCAGTTTTCTGACAGATAAGAAATATTGCCATAAACAAACACCACTATTTTAATTTTATTTTTCATTTTATAGTGTATGAACCTCACTGACTCTCCAAATCCAACACAGTAAATTAAATTAGAGACAGTTAAGTTTTCTACTTGTTTACAAATGTAAATATTACATTATTGGCAAAATCAGATTATTTTTTTAAATAGAAATGGGAACTAACTTGAAGCATGGTTTGATAAAACCAGGACTTCTAGTATTCTTGCCAAATGCAGGGTCAGTCTGACATTCTCTGTCCTAAATTTGGGAGATTGTCAAAAACTGTAGAGGTCAGGAATCTGCCAAGTCTGTATGTACTATGTTGTTTCATTGGAAACAATATGACTTTCACATACTTCAGGATCCAAGCATGATCTGAAAGACTAATCTCAAGGCTCATTGCCATAAAGCTACAATGAGCAGCACTGAATGCTATCTCCATGGACTGTTATATTGGGTTAATGTTGCAATACTCTCTGTAGGATATATATTGTCTTTCTGATTCTCCTGATGGATTGCAAAAGAAAACACGTTAATGTGACCTTGGTAGCAATAAACTGTAAAATTTTGCAAACTCCATGGATTACTTCCAAAGTATTGAATAAATGCAACAGCTATTTCTACTGGAAAATGGTGGTGCCCTTGGGTAATCACCAGTCTGCATTTTCACTGCTATTTGTAGGATAAAAGTACAAGAATGCGACTAAAGCATAGAAATAGATGTTGATCTGATATTAACACAACCTATACTTTTTAATGTTTTACTAGGTATTTGTTGCCTTCT